CAGTGAGGAAGGGAGGGGACAGGGGCAGGCACTACCCAGGCTGGGCAGGGGGTGTGGGACAGAGACAGCTTGTGGGGAGGGGGCAGTTCCCACTACTGCTTGCACACTGGGAGGGCGGGAGGTGGGGGAGCGTGTGCCCCCCAGGTCTGCGTGGGGCTGACGGGTGGGTGGGCTGGAGCCAGAGCTGCTTGGCTCTTCTTGGCAGGGGCTAGGCTCAGAGTAGGCACCAGCAGCACTGGGAAGGGCGGCAGCCACCACAAATTTCACTGCGGCCCCACTCCCAGCACCGCCACTAGCCACCTGGCACAGCCTCAGATCTTCCCAGCACATGGGTGGAGGTGGGACATGAAGTCGGGCTCCAACTAGCAGTGTGAGGCTCAGAGCGGAGCTTTGGTGAAATCTGGGGTGGCTGCTGCCCCTTCCAGCACCACCAGCCCCCACTCCGAGCCCAGACCCCACAGAGAAGAGCCGCGCAGCACCGGCTCCAACCTGCCCCCGCATCCCATGTAGATCCAGGGAGCATCCCCCTCTCCGCCGCCCTCCCAGGGTGCAAGCAGTGATGGGAGTTGCCCTCCCCACCACAAGCCATGCCACCATCCCACACCCATCCTGGCTGGGCAGTGCCTGCCCCTGCCCTCCCTCGCCCCAGGAGCATTGATCTGCACCCCCACACCTCTTCCCTCCCTCCTCCCCTTCTGACTTACCAGCTGGAGGCAGCTCTCAACGCTGCCAGCCCTGCACTGTGCTGCGCTGTGGCTGCGCACAGCATGGGCATTCATCAGCCAAATTATCAGCCCCATTAGGCCAATATCCAACGCAGCAAATTTTCTTTGCATCAGTACTGATCCAATATTGGTCCAATGTATCGCTGCACCTCTAACATTTACCTTTAAATTTCCACCTCATCTTAAACACTGTGTCAATACTTTTGACCCCCACCCCAGTGCTGCCCCGGCCTGGCCCCAACCTGACCCAACCTTCTTCACCTACCAACAGCGTCCCTGTTGCTAGAGGCCATGGGACCCAGGCCCAGACCCAGCAGAGCCTGCAGGCTTTGCCATCACTGTGGAGACACTGCTCAGCCGGGCACCAAACCCAGCCCTGTCCCCCGCGAGTGGCGCTGCTTGAGCCATGCCAGCCGAGTGCTGAGCCTGGCCCCAGCCCATATGAGCGGTGCTAAGCTCAGGGCTCGGCTGGCGCAGCCCCATCCCTGGTGAATGGCACTGTGTTTAGCATTTGGCTGGTACAGCCCAGGCAGCACCACTCACAGGGGATGGGGCTGGACTAGTCGAGCACCAAGCCCAACCCTGTCTCCTGAGAATGGCACTGCAATACATGTTCACTCTCCGAGTGCCCAACCCACAGTGAGGGCACACAGGGTCCAGTATAAATCCACCACATATTTCTGATCCAGAAAGTTAGGTACACCAGATCTATGAAACTCCTAACTTTTTAGATCAGAAAAATGAGGTCGACTAATACACCATGTCAATCAGTACACTGTGAAATATGGTACTTGTTTTCTGAACAACTCAAAACAGTTTATGCATAGTGAAATAATTCCAAATATTTCATCACTATTGCACTGTCACATTCTGAAAAAAAGGAGGACCTACTGAAATCAGGCCTGCATCAGGGGCTGGTCTCCAAAAAAACCTGTAATGAGAAGCACTATATAATATATGCACAATTGTTTTTTGCGCTCTCCAGTATGCATTATAAACACTATTATATATAGTGTCTAGAACAGTATAGTGTGTGTGTGTGTAACGGTATAGTATGTATATATTTATAATAGTATTATATGCATACATATACACACACTATACATATTTAACATACATAAGTATGTAGTATACATAAATATATGTAGTGTGTATATACATATATAAACAAACACTATAATGTAGTATAATATACATATATTACAAATTATTACATACATAATTACAGTTCACAGGAAAAAAAATTAAAAGTAAGGAAAATATTTCCAAAAAACAGCTTAGGAGATATTGTTTTAAGGAGATGACATTTAGAACAGTACATACGTAATGCCCTCTTGATTATCAAGTTGGTAATGCTTCTCAACCGGCAACAATTCACTTTCATGCTCTTCATCAGAGATGCTGTCTGAATTCTGTTCTTCAATTAAAGGCTTCATTACTTCCATGTCTGTGTAGCACATGAATAAAACAGACTGGTTTTATAAACAAATTTAGGAATATTATGTAAATCTACACGTTTTAAAAACAAAACTGGGTCTGAACTATTTGTAAATGTCATGAACTTTACCTGCAGAGCCACTAAGAGCAATGTGCTATAGTATTCACATATACACTTAAAAAAAAAAAAAATCAATGTTCATCCTTCTCACATTCAGCTTGTTTTGTGATCAGAGGTATAGAATGGGTTTTGTTAATTTGCTCTGATAAGATTAAAAACTCATCAACACCATTTTCATCATGGTTTACATCTTAACGATGCAGAAGTCTTCAAAACTATTTATTTTAAATGCTAATACAGCATATTGGAACATGATCTGACATACTATAGTTACACAATGGCTTGTTCATCTACACCAGATTCACCCTAGTGTCATCATAAGTAATAGTGTAATAAGAGTACTTTAGAGCTCTTAACTGTGGCCTTCTGCAGCCCCCATAGCCACATCCATGTTTAGGGTGAACACCTTTTCAAAATGGAAAGGTGGGACACATGCCCACCTATTCCCACTTCCCCCCTCCCCAGTGGCACGGCCTGAGCAGACAAGGGGAGCCCACAGGAGGTGAGGGAGAATGCAGGCTGCCTGCTGTGGGCTCGGGACTCCCTGCCCTGCTGCCCTCTCCCTGGGACCCCACACCAGCCACATCACCATGGCAAGGCCCCTCCTGCCCACCCAACAGTACTGGGGGGGGGCACAACTGTATGCCACCACTGCCCCCGCTACTGCCACTCCCCCAAGCAGCCCCTTGCAAACTGAAACTCTGCCAGTCTGCAAGGGGGACCTTGCTGTTTCCTGCATTTTTTCCCACAGTAAACGGAAAACCTGGATCCCTGCACGATACTGGAATCTGGGACAAATGCCATCCCAGAGTCATTCAGCCTGGGACTGGGAATGAATAGTCACATTTCAGAACTGTCCTGAAGGCCAAGGCCAAGCAGGTCAGAACCAGAGCTGGAGCCCCGAGGGGACAACAGGGACAGGCTGAAGCTGAGAGGACTTGAGCATACACCCAGAGGCGGCAACAGGGGTGGGATGAGGCTGAGCGGGCTGAAGCCTGATCCCAGAGGGGGCAACAAAACCTCATGGGCCCCTTGGGTATGCCTGTAACTTCCTTTCCACCCCTATCAGCCACGTCCAGTCTTCCTGTCTAAAACTAAAACAAAAAAAAAAAACACAAGCAACAGCTTTAACTCAAAGTCCCCCCTCTGGATCATTATACCACTGCCAGACCATCTTCCCACTCCAACTCTCCCAGCCCTGGGAGTACCTGTCATGGCCTGCAGCTCCCTCTCCCCACCAGCCTGAGCAGGCAGGAGCTCCTCTTCCTGCAAGGCTCAGAAACCCAGGCTTATATCCCCTGGGCTTCTCCCGCTCCCAACAAGCTGCAGGTGTGCCCTCTCATCTTAATGGGCAGCTTACTGCTCCTAGGTTGCAGTTGCTCCCTTCCCTCCTGGAGCTAACTCCTGTTCAACTGCCTGGGGCTCTTTCTGCTGCAGCCTCTCTCAAAATAAGAGGATCCCCAGGCTCCCAGTTATTCCTCTCTAGTAGGCAGCTTCACCTGAGGTTCATCATATCAGCCCACAGGAGGGGCCTTCTGAGAGTGGCGTTCAAATACCTCCAGCATCTTCTTCAAAGGACTCTACACCCAGCCTAGAGGGAGCCTGTCTGAGCTATTATAACTAGATCAATTAAAGTATCTTCCTGCCTTGTGAAGGCCTCCCCTTCCCTGGTAGAAATGCCAGAGCAAATACCTCTGGCAAGCAAAAACTCATTTCAATCCTGTGTGCCTGCCATTTTGTGATAAAGGGATCCCCTATGAATAAGACAGAAGATCATAGAAATACTCTTTAATCCTTAGCATTAGAAAAAAAGTCTTAAATCTCTTTTTGCAACCAGGAACATTTCAATTTGCACTAAATATAGCTGCACTTTCTATCTTTGCCCATAAATTGGATGATATGCCAATTAAGCCAAATCTTCTCAGTAATATTCTCTCACCTACGTGTTGCTGCTGCTTGACCTCTACAGACATTTCCTAACATTTTTCATAGAACTGCCATAAGCATTTTTACCCTTAACCTTCTAACTGTCAGCTCAGCCTCTTGGGACCAATTGTAAAATTTCTGGTCTTGTCACCCTGGACAATCTTCTACTGACACTAGTGCATATCAGAGAGTACAGTCTCATGGGGTAGTAGTGGAAAAAAAGAACTTTTCTTTAACCCACACCCAGTGCTAAAAGTTTGTGAAGTACCTGAACTACAGGTTCCAGTGTAAGGTTTAACATTTCAACTTGTTTAGTATTGGGTCAACAGCAACAGAGTTAAAAGGCTCAGGCTATAAAAACATTGACATTTTACCTGTGACTGAACTTACCCGTCCTTTAGTCTGACTGCCCTCTCCCCTCAAAAATCTTTAACCATTTAGTTTGGATGCACTTGGTTTGAATGCAATGGAATAACTATGAAGATGAGTTATTTGTCCCTTTAAAACATATCCCTTCCTGCTGCCTAACCTCCCCATGAAACCGTCTGGTCATCTAAGAGTTTTTTTTCAACACTATCACCTCTCATGCAAAGAAGGGATGGGAAGAAGAGAATTAAAAATTCTATTTTTGCTAAACTGAGCTTGAGCTGAAGCCAAGACATTCAAGGTATCAGAGACATGCGAAGATTTAGTTTGGATAGTAGGACACCGCTCTGGAGCAGACCTGTGGAGCAGATCTATTCAGCTACCTTTGCACAGAGTGGGTAGCTAAATTTGTGTTTGCTCATGAGATTATGCAGGGAAAAGAGTGACCAAAGATAGAGCTCAGTAGGGTCACCAAATGAAGCCGAAGGACACTCTGAAGGAGAATCAGGAAATGAGAGAGTATAAGATTTTGAGAACCACAAGACACGTCTACACATGAATTTACATGCGCCTAAACTTAATACACCTTTGCAGCCTGCCCTGGGCAGCACCCTGGACAGCCCCTGGAAGCCCACAGCAGTGTAGCTGGGTGGTGCAGCCCAGCACCAGCCAAGGGGATGAGAGCCTCCAGTCCCCCCTGGATGCAATTGGCCTGACCCCAGCCCTGCCTCTAACCCCCTCCCCATGTTCCTGCTTCCCCAGTGCTGGTCGAGAGTGGGCCGGAGC